CCCCACCTTCCCTCTGAGATTTATCAGTCTGTTCCATGCTTCAGTGTCACTAAGTCTATTTTGTTCATCAGTTTTGGTAACGACTTCTGATGTGACACTTATGGTCAAGAAATGTTCTATCTAACTGGAACCCCTTATTCTGAGACGTAGGCTTTGGTCCCCTCTCTCAGTAGCCCGTGTGGATAGAGGCCCTGCCCCTCACCTAGTGAAGGGGCAGACAGTGGCAGGCTATTGTCCTGGGTTTCCTGCTCACTGGGTGTGAGCACATATACTTCCTATAGTTCTGCAGGGTAGAGGTCCAACACAGATCTTACTGGGTTAAAAGTAAGGTGTGGGCTGGGCTGTTTTGCTTTCTGGAGGCTTGAGGGAGAATCTTTTCAGGCTCCTAGAGGCCACCAGTGTTCCTTGGCTCGTGGCCATCTCCCTCCATCCTCTAAGTCAGCCAGGTAGCATCTCTCTGACCTTGCTTCTGCCACATTGCTCTTTCTCTGACCCTCTTTTCGGCTTTCCTTTCCCACGTTTAAGGCCCATGTGATTACATCGAGCCTACCTGGATAATACAAGCTAATCTCCCTGTTTTAAGGTCCTTAATCAGTAAACTTAATTCCCCTTTGCCATGTAAGGTGACACAGTCACAGGTTCTGGAGACTGAGACATGGACATCTTTGAGGGCCACTGTTCTATGTACCACAAGCGCCAAAGCTTCATTTCTCCTGGGAGAGTTCTAACTCCATCATCTCCTCTAAGTCATTTCCTGGGCCCCAGCAATGCTGGAGTAACAGGTCGGGAAGGACCATGGTGTTCTTGAAGGACCTCACCAAAGCTAAGTCTGATAAGTGTCATGTGGTCTTGGGTACCCAAAACCCAGCCCATCCATGCTGGGGAGGATCATGGAAACGAACTGTGAGAGCAGCAGATGAAATCAAATATTGGTGACCTCCTTCTGTGTTTCCAGGTGTGGATTTGGTCGAAAGCCAAGTTTATCAACAGGAAATTCCTAATGGAGGAACTTTACCAGCGCTTTCTAGATGGAGAAGGCAGCCACGTGGCCCAGGAAGACGACCCTTTCTGGGACCCTGTTGAGGCCGTCCACCTGGGCTCGGCCCACATCTGGCTCCAGCCGCTTGCCTACTGCATGATGCTGGAGGAGCAGGTGGAGTTTCTGAACTGCGACGGGCTGGAGGAGGCGGTGCTGCACGTCCACCTCACCCCCTGCTCCCCGGCAGGACAGTGGGTATCTCCTCTCCCCTTGCCTAGTTCTGGGTCTGTCGCACGGAGAAAACTCAAGCAAGCCCGAGTGCTCCTGGAGGGGGTGACCAACTTGGTGTCCCAAAGAGGTCATTCATGAGACAGTGAGCTCACTCATTTAAGATTCGACCTCCTTAAATCTGATATTTGCCAGGGCAACCAAATCAGCTGACCTGGAATATTTGAAATCCATGTCCAGCAGCAGCCGAGCAGCTCAGCACTGCCCTGGGGAAGTGCCATGAGGAAGACATCCTGCAGAGGCGGCAGGAGGCGCTTTGGTTGAGAACCAAAGACCTGGGTTGATTCCCCGTAATGGGCCCCCGGAGCCAAGCGTGGCACCTGCGAGGTCTGGCATCCGCCGCCTGCAGTGTGCCCTTTCCCACGCTGGAGGCCCTGGCCGCCCCCCCGATCAGGCCCAAGAGCCAGCAGCTCACCCCTTCTCCATCCTTGGCACGGGCTCGGATCATTTCTTTGCTCCCTTTCTCAAGGCAGGGACTGGGGTGTCTGTTTCCGTGTCTGGCCTCACTCTCGGCTGTTATCAGCCCTTCCCGTGGGCACAGGCTTTGTTTGAACTCTGCTCCATCACCTGAGGCATCGCCTGTTTTCTCTCTTTAGGCCATAGGCAGTTTAGGCAGTTTCTTTATAAAAGTGAAAGCCTCTTAGCAAATCTAAGCAGAGAGGCTGGCAAGGGTTCTGGGTCCTCACACACCCAGTGCCATCTTTTTGTCTTGCGCAACAAACAGGCTCAAGAAGGGAGCAAGAGCCCTGCCGGGCGTGGCTCAGTGGTTCAGCATCGACCTCTGGTCCAGATCAAGGTTCAGTTACCCGGTCGGGGCACATGCCCGGGTTGCGGGCTTGATCCCGTGGGGGGCTTGCAGCAGGCAGCCGATCAATGACTCTCTCATCATTGATGTTTCTCTCTCTCTCCTTCTCTCTGAAATCAATATATATTTAAAAAAAAAAAAAGGCAGCAAGAGAACCTCAAAGTCCTGTGACTCAGAGACCAAGCCATCGACTGTCTTTACTGGGACTAAGCAATTTTCCGGTCATTTGACTACCTCAGGCTTCCAGGCTGCCCGATGGTTGTATTTCCCATCGCGAAACAATAAGGTGGAATCCTAGTTTATAGGTGTCAGTCTCTGAGTGGTTGATATGGGAGAGGTCCCCTGTTGGGAAGCTTTCCAAATTGGCTTCTGAGCTTGTAGGCCTGGGGCTGACTCTGGAGAGTTCAGCAAGGAAAATGGTCTCTCGAGAGGGTGCATCTGGGCAGCCAGCTCTTTCCCTGGGTGGCAGCCCCTGTCCCATTGGGAACCCACCTAGACCTTCACCGCCAGTTTAACAACCACATCTGGGTGCATGTTACGTGAAACTGTTAGATTCCTGTCTCCTCCTTGCAACTTCTTACCTTGAAGTACCGGCATAGAGTGGGCTCTCAGTCTCGAGTGAATTCTACAGCTGGTGATCATGCCTGGTCTCCCTTCGGTGAACTTGGCCACCTCTTAAGGAGTCCATAGAATTCCCTTTGACACCACCACCCTAACTTGCTTGGGCCCAGGCGAACCTGTGACCGATGTTCCCCTCTTCTGTTTCTAGAGCACGTGGTGAGGAGGACGTCGTTATTGACCCTTTGGAGCTGCTGGGCAAGAGGATGGATTTCCAGATTCGCATTGTGCGGTGCCTTGGCACCAAGTGGCTAAAGGAAGACGCAGGGCGGGGCATTCAGATGGGGTACCAGCCTGCTCCACACAGCTGCTGTGCACAAACCACACACTCAAGTTCATTTTTTTTAAAAGTATATTTTTATTGATTTGAGAGAGAGGGAGAGGGAAACATCAATGCTGAGAAAGTGTCGATCGGTTGCCTCCTGCACGCCCCCTGCTGGGGATAGAGCTGGCAACCTGGGCATGTGCCCTGGCCGAGACTCAAACCTCAAATCTCCTGGATCATGGGTCCGCTGGCCGGACCCCACTCAAGTTTTAAAAATGAGTTTATCGTGAAATTTTCTTAAGTTTCTCTGCTTGCTCAGCCCCCAAATGACTATTAACCATCTATTTAATAGAAAGAGAAGCACGTCCCTCCAGGTCCATGGACTGTGATCAGTATGTACTGATCCTTCTACGTGACTGAAGTGGTAGAGTCAGAAATTTTAATTATAGAAAAGAACATCCAGTATAATTACATTATCTAAGTAGAATGGTTGTTTTTTTACTTGGAAACAAAAGAACTGTGTCACAATATATCAGAAGTACCAGATCTGTTTAAACTAATTAGGCTAAGAGAATAGTATCAAAAGATAAATAAAGGGCGACTTTGTGGAATAGCCAAGGTGCTGGAGGCAGTGATCATGAGACTCAGTTATAAGTCATCTTTTTATCAACTAACCAGTGCAGACTAGACTATAATTCTTTGCCTCATCTGATCCTTTTCTTTACAAATGTGTCCCTTCTGGTTTTATGTTCCTTTCTCAGGTACAGAATTTATGATCATCCACACACTTTATATACGAAGCCTGTATGGAAAATTGTGAATCCCCAAATCGAAGAGTCTATCCAATTTACAGCCCTAAATGCATCTCAGGAGTTTCTGAATTATTTACAGACAAATGCTCTCCTTGTTGACTTATGGGGTCTTCAAGGTACCAAGTTTACTTCCCCTCTGCATGGGGCATTCTTCAATCAGGTATCACGTCAGTACACACGAGTATAGTCTAGGTCTTGACAGCAGTGGCCAAGAGCCATGTTCCCCTGGGTCCCTGGATTCTAGTCCACAGGTGATTGATTACATGGTTTAACATCTCCTCACATAACTCTGGGGCTGGACAGCTGAAATGCTTCTTTCCTTGATGGTGTCTCCCTCGCACTACAGAGGGCTGTGCTGAACTGAGCTGCTCACAGCAGGACCCTGAGGGCCACATCATGGTGGACACCAAGAAAATTTCTACTGTGATGGATATAGGCCAGGTGTGTACATTTATGTGACAATAAGATGGATGTCATAGATAACTAGAAAATCTCAGATGACAGCTGCTTGAGTATCATCAATGTTCCTTCCCCTTAACAAATGTTTTCTTGATTGACTCTGTGCACCCTGAGGGGCTTAAATCCTGCTCACTGTTCCTTGCCCCACCCCAGTCCAGTGTTCATGTAGTAGTAAAAATTGTGAGTCTCAAAAGATATGTAAATAATCCATGAAAAGGCTAAAGTAACATGTTTTTTATAGACTCCATCAAACCAGATATCAGAACTTTATCTGAAGCTGCTCAAGTTAGAACAGGAGACGGAACTGCTCAGAAACATTAACAGAGCCCTCAGAGAGGAAAATGTGTTTCTCAAAGAATCACTTGAGAAAATTGGTTCTAGTCAACAAGGTGAGAGGCCACTTAAGACTTATTTAGCTTCTCTCTAAGCTCCTACATTTCGATGCGAGTCTGTCTAAGAAATGAGCTTTTCAATCAGTTAATCCATATCTTGTTTCATTAAAAAAGGCACTCCAATTGGTGCCTGATAAATGCTGATACAGCAGAATGCCATCAAGATAAGTAAAAACAGGAATACCTCAATAAATAAATACATAAATAAGTAAATGCTCTCTTTTCTTTCTACCTCAGCACATAAGCCACCTAATACCTTGAGGATAAATGGGATGACAGCACAACTGCCAGCAGCCAGAGAGATGAACCGTGTGTGCACCCAGCAAGCCGGCTATGACAGAGAATTTGCTAAAGCTATTAAGGTGTTCTACCAAAGCATGAACATGGCACGAGGGCAGTTTCTCAAATTGAGACATTGTAAGCCTCCTGTAAGTAACCAGAATCCTGGGAGCAATAGAATCCATCACATTAAGATATTTTAGGAGAAAAATCATGATTGCTTCAATAGAGGCAGAAAAGGCACATGATAAAATTCAGTGACCTGCCATAATAAAAACTAAGCAAACTAGGAATGAATGAACTTTCCTTAATCTGATTAAGGCATATTAAACAAACACTTAGCAAGCATTATGCTTACTGGTGAATCAGTGAAAGCTTCCCTTCACATCAGGAAGAAGTCAGGGACGCCAGCTCTCTTCGCTAACATTGTACTTTGGGTTCCAGCCAGCGCAGCAAGCCAAGAAAGACAAGGTATAAAGATTGGAAAGGGAAAAAAGCAGTAACAATATAGCATACATTTATGTGATACTAAGTGCTTTACAGTTACTGACTCAATTCTCACAACAACCTGATAAGGTAGGTACTATTATTAGCCATATTTCACAGTGGGTGGATCTAAGGCTGAGAAGTAAAGTAACTGGTGTAGGGATTCACAACTAGTAAATAGCAGTGCCAACCTCCAAACCTAGCCAGGGATGCTCCACAGTGTATACTCTTTCCTACTATACCGGGTGCCTGTTACTATTCCCAGATGACATACTTATGTAAACAGAAAAATCAAACGAATTTATAAATGAATAGAATTACAAAGTTTCTAGACACAAAAAAATCACTACTTAAAAAATTAACTACATTAGAATAGCACCAAGCAGAAAACATTTTATTTTTTTATTTTTTAATCTTCACCCAAGGAGTAGGATATTTGTCCATTGATTTTTAGAGAGAGTGGAAGGAACGGGGAAGGGGAGAGAGGGAGGGGGAGAGGAGAGAGAAACACCGATGTGAAAGCAGCACATCCGTTGGCTGCCTCCTACACGTGCCCCAACCAGGACAGGGATCAGATTGAACCTGCAACCCAGGCATGTGCCCTTGACCGAGAACCAAACCTGTGGCCTTCTGGTGCACAGACTGATGCTCTAACCAGTGAGCCATGCCAGCCAGGGCAAGCAGAAAACATTTTAATAAAAGATACCACTTATAAATGCATAAAATATAGGAAGTACACTAAGTCCTCACTTAATGTTGTCTATAGGTTCTGGGACGTTAAGTGAAACAATGTACTATATTGAAACCAATTTTACCCTAGGCTACTGGATATAAATAAGAGTTAAGTTCTACATCATCTCACCAACATTAATAAACAAGAGTTAAGTTCCTACAGCATCTCACCAACATTATAAATTCAGTTTCCAACAGAAACTCTCACACACTGCTGGAAGGAGTATAAATTGGTATAACCACTTAAAAAACTGTCTGCCATTTACCTAATGTAAGCTGAGGATGCATCTACCTTAGAAGCCTGTAAGTCAACTCTTATCCACTGAATAAACTGATTCTGCAGAGAATTTAGCCCTAACGACCTGAGGCAGAGATTCTCAAAGTGTGCTTCCCCAACTAGCAGTTTTAGCATCATTGGGGAGCATGCAAATTCCAGGGCACCATCCAGACCTACTGAATCAGAATCTCTGGGTGGGGCCCTGTGATCTGTGTTTTAACAGGCCCTCCAGATGATTCTGCCTTAAACCAAAGTTTGAGAACCTCCTCACTGAGGCATCCAATGTATGTAAGGAATTAATTTCTTTCTTACATATTTAGAATTGTACTAGTTATATACCATTTTTGAGAGAGCTGAAAAAAGTCACTCAAATCATTTTCTGTGGTGTGGTTCAGATGACAGACCAGCCAGAAAACTGCAGAAACCTTTACATATGTGCACCAGCTGTTCTTAACATCATCTTCCAATTTGGCCCCCAACTGGACACATCCTAATGGACATTCACAGAAGACAGGTAAATTACGGCACCTGCTACACTGAAATGCTGCACTGCCGTGAAGATGAACGACAGCCACATGCAACGGGGAATCTCACCACCAATACTTCTGATTGAAACTTTCAAGTCACAAAATATGCCATTCAGTATGATTCCATAAATGGTCAAAAGACAGGCAAAATTTACTGTTTAGAGTGGCAAGAAAAGGATGATCACCCGAGTCAGGCTAGTGGTTGCTTCTCAGGGAGAGGGTGTGGGTGTGACCAGGAGGCAAAGTTCTTTCATGAGCTGGTTTGTCCACTTTAAATTCCTGTGCATACGTTCTGGGTACTCTTCTGTATGTATATCTCACAATTCAAAAGAAAAACTGGTTAGATGAAGGACACTCTAAACAAAGTTAAAAATAAAGCCAGAGCCTGGGAGAATCTATTTGCATTACTTATCAATCAAAGATTAGTATCCAAAATATATAAACAATTATTTTTAAAATAAAATAAAAAAAGATGGCACGTTGAAAAACATTGGAAAAAATGGCCAAAGTGCCTGAGCAGGCATTTGATTAACAATCAGAGAAACAGAAAACAAAACAAGGTGCCATGATCTGTCCTCTGGGCTTCCCCATCTTAGTGAACATTGTCACCATCTCCTTCACCACCGGGCACTGGCACTCCAGCCCATAGATGTCCCTGCAATCAGTCCCTACTCAGGGATACCTGCTTCCATGGGGCAGGGGGTACCATCAGCCAACCCTACCAATGGGAGAATCCCCATTCCAACATGGTCCAAATAACGTATGGGGTGGGCAAAGGTAGGTTTACAATTGTTTGTATGAAAACTAATACAATAATTAATGAATAATAATAAACTGTTTTGCATACTCACAACTGTAACCCCACTTTTGCCCACCCCTGTATATGGTTCCAGTATGAAATGTCTGACTTACCTCACCAGTGTCTCCTGCTGGCAGTAACTGAAAGACCATTCAGGTGGCCTTCCTGAAACCAAAGATGCTCCCGGGTGACTTACTGCCTCTGCCAGCCACTTTCAAATGCAGCTTTCTGGCCCAAAGGAAGAACTCACTGTGCACCCCACTCACACGCACACATATTTTTACTCTAATGATGTAAGTCTACTGCTATCTTTTTTCTTCGCTGTTTTTTTTCCAGGAAGACGACCAAATGCTTCGGCCGTTTGTACACCAACAGTCGCAAATGTTGAAGGACTTTGGGGACCGACTTGAATCCAGCTTGTGGAAACTGAAAAATGATGTAGCGCTGATAGTGAAATGGAAGAGAGAATGTTTACTGCACAGCCAGTGGGGACACACTGATGGAAAACACTGAGCTCTGAGTTGTGAAGATGACCTGGGCAGCTAAGCAGCATAATGAATGTGGCCATCAGAGGTGAACTGTGGACTCAACACATTCAATCCACTTCCCAATTATTCAACCTATTTCTTTTTACCACTTTTAAGTAAAGCTCTTCTCCTTCATTTTGATTGAAAAGTCATGTAAAAAAGAATCCGTATCTAGGGTGAAGGTGAAGTGGGAGATGCTCTGGGGTTGGACTCCCTATGGTCAAGTCCTGCTTAAATCCATCTCTAATAAATTGTGTAGTTTGAGGCAAATGACTTCACCTCTCTAAGTCTCTCATTCCTTATGTTATACAGAAATGATAAGTTAATAAAGTAATATAAAGTCCCTAGAATAGTCCCTGGCACACAAAAACAAAAGATAATTAATAGTTTCATGTTGAACAGTTTGAAACTTCAAATAAAGCTCTTTTGATAAATTTCTTGCTGTCAGACATAGAGCCAATGGTTATTTCGTGCCCTCGTTTTATAATCTTGGTCTTCTTTTCTGTCTTCATAGGTTTATTTGAAGTATGTTCAGTTCACTAAGTAAGCAGTGTTAGTGCCTGTACTGTGGGACTGGTTCAGTACAGGGGTCTTGGGTGGCAGAGATTAAAACTGTTGATGAGATCTGCCAGGAGTAAATAAATTTCAAAGTGATCTTTTTTTTTTTTTTTTTATTCCAAACAGAGAAAGGGGGGAGAGGGGGGAGAGAGAGAGAGAAATAGCGATGTGAGAGAGAAACATCAATCGATTGCTTCCCAAACAGGAATCAAACCCGCCACCTTTTGGTGTACTGGACGACGCTCCAATGAACTGAGCCACACCAGCCAGGGCAATCTCGAAGCAATCTTGATCACACAAAGAATTGACTGATGGGTCTCAGTTAAGGACTGACAGGCACTTAGTGGTCTGGGAAAGGCTGTACAGAACCCTTTTGAGACTTAAAGAGTGCTTACTCTGTGCCTAGGCATTTATCTAAGTGCTAAACGTCTAATAGCTCATTTAATTCTCACCATAATTCTAAGTTTGGCACTATTATTTCGAGGCTTTAAAGGTTAGATAAATGAGGCTTGTCCAAGCCACTGTAAGCAGGGGGGCAACTCTAGGGACTACATTCCTAACCACATGGCCTGTTACCTTAATATGCAGGACCATCTGGGGAGCGGTTAGATTGATTTGCATAAGAAATCAGGAAGGAGGAAAGAGAGGTGACAACTCCAATTCTTGCTGAAATATAAAGTTAGGGAAATCAAAAAGGATGGCACTGAAACGCTGCTGGTAGAAGAGGTTATCAAGGGTTCCAAAATGGAGTCTC